AAGAAAAAATCTACTTGGTTCTAGACTGAGTAGATGGTGATTGAGGAATATATATAGGAGATTCAGGAGTATACTTGAAAGATTGAAGTTTATATTCTTCAAATATTTGTAATCGAGAATCGATCGAAGTTATAATCTCAGCAGCAATTTCTTTCTCTAATTTTTCACTTTTGAAATTATTTTCTTCTTGTTTACTTTTGTTAGTATTTTTCTCTTTTGATTGTTTTTTTGCTTTTGAAATTATTTTTATCTTGTTTATTTTTAATCTTTTTTCTATTAACATATTTTTGAATTCATTTAATAATTCTATTTCATTCTTGTAAATTTGCATACCTGTATGATCAAAACTTTTGATCCAAAACCAAATCTTATAATTTGGTTTATACCTAGATAATAACTTTTTCATTCACATTAATGATCCTTTAGAATTAACACGAACCAACTTTTCTGAATAATCTAAATTTTTGTCAACACTCTAAAGAAGCTTAAAATAATTATTTCGCATTCTAAAAGGACAATAATTATTTTTATGATCATGAGGATCATATTGCCAAAGATGTTTATAAAATTTATGATTCTTTTTACATTTGCAAATAAAATAATCTTTTAATTTTACTTCTATCACATGTTCAAGAAGATTAAATTTTCTTTTGGTTTATGTTGCTTGTAGATACGAACATAAGATCGATCAAAATCGATGTTGTGCCAAGACACACTATTTTAAATCACGAATGATTCACTCATGATCTTGTATTTTATTGAAGAGAAATGTTCAAAATGTGTGATTACGTCTCTATTCATTTTTAAAGTAATTATTTTTTAATTACTTTTGAATATCTGAAGCTAAACTTAGTGATATTCAGGCAAATTATTATGATTCTGGAGTTTAAGTAAAGTGAATTTTTCAGTCTTTTATAGATGTTTGGAGAGAAAGAAAAAAAAACTAAGTTTTTTAATTTTATTTCGTAGACATTAATCGATTAATATGAATGCTAAATTCACATATTTCTGATTTGGAATTTAGTTTTTTCATCAATAATTTGTACTAAACAGGAATCTGAATCAGTAATTTTATAGATTTAAATTGGTCATCTATCAATAATTAATTTCCTTTTAAGTATAAAAATTGGGCACAAGAATTTGAACATCAAACCTTAAAATGTTATTTATGATTTCAATTAGTTCCTTATATTTCTTTTTCAAATAATTATTAATTAGAAATTTCTTTATATCGAAATTTGAACATTGTTTCTAAATCAGTAAATCCGATTTGGAAATTCAATCATATTAAATAATATTACCAAATCTGTAATTTCTGATATAGAAATTATTAAAATTATTTAGTTCTAATTAGTAAATATACTGATTTGTAAAAATAAATTGGTATTCTGTAACAATTAAGAAATAAAATTGATTATATATTTTAAATTCAATATTATAAATTAATTATAAAAAAGGATCATTAAAAAAATTAACCGCCAGCTCAAAATGAGAAACACTCATGAAATTCAAAATTATTTTCATCCTAATATCGAAAATACTAAACTTAAATGTGATATTTGCAATGCTTCTTATGAAATTCAAGTATCAGTCACTAATTTGAAAAAGCATTTTGCAAAATATTATAAAACTGATTATCAGAAAATTTTGGAAAAACAAAAAGAGAAATTCAAAAACATTAAAGAAATTAATCGTATTTAAAGAAAAGAAAAAGAAAAACCAAATATTATTATTACGTAAAATAACATTTAAGAAATTTTACCATATAATGGTAATAAATATTATGTGACTGTTCAAGATAAAGTCAATAATAATACTATTAATGAGTTTAAAAATCTCAAAGTTACTAATTCTTTGAGACTCAAAGAATCAGTAATAATTGAGGCTATC